CCTAACTCTAGAAAGCAATAAAATCCTAAAGCTACCAAAATACTAATGCTTGGCTTACACACCAAGCAAATCTAGAAGCTCCCTAACTAAAACCCTACGTTCGCCCCACTCTTCGGCCGCCCCTCACGCGTCGCGCGCCTTCACGAGTCCTAGTCCTCGACGGACTCGGCGTCTTGTACGCTGCCCTCACACGCGCGCGTTGTCGCGCGCACATTGCTCGTGTCGTCCGTCCCGCACGCGTACCCGCCATCGCCTAATATTCCTACGCCCGCTATAACACGGTTTTCTCTCGTTCGCACATCGCCCGCGTACGCGCTGCCTGCCTCACCTAATCCTCCCACACATAGGCATGCGTCTGCGCATGTCGCCCACTCGCGCGCTACCGCACATGTCCCGTCCTTGTCGCTCGCCTCCTGCGCGTGTGCGCCCGCGCTCGGCAGTCCGATGCCCACAAGGCCACGGCTTCTTTCCGCGTCACCTATACTCGCGCGCTTCGCCCCAGCTGGCCAACACCCGTGCGTCCCCACCACTTACCGCGTGTCCATGCGCGCCCGGTACCTTGCCCGGCACATATTCGCGCGCATCACGGCCCGATGCGCGCCCCACGCCCGATAGCCGATCCTCCTCGACCCCTCTGCCGTCCAGCTCCGTTGGCTCACCCGATGGCCATGGGTCCCATCCGTCCAACCCGATACAATCATCAGCTCACCACATCCAACCCTCCTTCATTCGACTCTTGCCTCCTTTCGAGCCACCATCTTGCGAACTCGCCTTTTTCTCGCACAAGGCTTGCACCAACACTTCTCCTCTTTTGCTTTTGCCTTGCCTTTCCTTCGAGCTCGTTTGGTCTTGCATCTCTTAGGCTTCAACCCAGCATTTGGACCACATCCTTTCGGCCAATCCCTTACACATGATGGCCGGTGAATAGGACTAGATGGCTCCTCCAACATATTTTCTAACCATAAAGCAAGACCATCGTCATCATCATCGTCTGACTCACCGGGGTTGATGACCACTTCCGTATCATTCCCCTCCTCTTCGAGACTTTCCTTGTCCTCAAGGATTAGGAAGTTAAGCGCACCATCCCCTTCATTGTTCTCAACCACCATCGCTTCTCGGGCTTCCATGAGTTGTCGTTC